GAACCTGCAGATGAACCCAGAATCTGAAGTTAAACCCAGAACCTGCAGATGAACCCAGAACCTGCAGTTAAACCCAGAACCTGAAGTTGAACCCAGAACCACAGAAGAAAAAAGTTTTAATCTTCCGTCCTGGTTCATTTCTTGAAATCATCAAATAGTTCTGGTTCTGAGCATTCAGAGGGACATAGATCAGGTTTGGACTGGTTACCAAGACTGGTCATGACCTTTGATCCCAGTTCAACCAGCAGGAATAACGTTGGGAGGCGAGCAGCTAGAGAATAATCAGGATCATCTTTAATTCAGCTTCAGTTTCAATAATATTACAGAAAAAACATCCTGTTTCATACAGTAGTAGAATGCTGAGTCATTGCTGAGTCATTGCTTCATTACAGGTGCTGGTCAGTGTGCAGAGGGACGCTGGGCCCGCTCCAGTGGGACCCATCACTCGGTACCGAGTCAGTTCACAATGACCTGCTGCTTCTTCCTCTTCTTACTCCAAGGGATCTGATTGGTCCTCTCTGGGCAGGGGCCAGGACCCCCAAGATGCTGCGTTTCAGTCACGTAGGAATTTCCACAGCCATGATCTGCCCAATGTGGGAAAACTAAAGAGAAATGTTTCGTTTCACTGATATTTAATCTAAATATCGTTCACAGGATGAATGAGTCGCTCCCCAGCCTGCTGTAACTCAAACGCAGCATGAGCAGCTGAAATGTGCTCTCTATGGTGCATTTGAGGGAACTGGGAAGTTTCAGAATCATTCAGGTTTAAGAATGATGGGATCTCACATTTAGATCACAAACGCTGTCCAGGTGCTGCACCCTGGCTGAAATCACACCTGCCCAAGGAGGAGGACACGCCCTCTGCAGGGGCATGGAGGGTCAAAGGTCAGACATGGTGCTCCATCAAGTCTTCAGGGGGAAAATTTACCAGAAAGTTTCAGTGAACCAGGAACGGTCAAAAGGAATCTGAATTTACAGTAAAATCGACTCGTTTTAGGGCCCTGAAAGCACCATGAGATGAAGGAAGCAGCTGACCTTTGAGCGGGTTTGGCACTGTCAGAGGAGGATTATCTAATCTGAGAGGGATTAGCTCAACTTTCCATGTATGGAACACCTGAAGTTCCACGTGAAAAAAAATTATATACAAAAAAAATGTAAATAAAATCTTTAGTTAGGGAAAAACAATCTGAAAAATAATAAAATCATTTAAACTATTTTCCAATTATTTATTCTGATATATTCGCTACTAGTTGTTTATTTTCTCATCTCCATTAGTTTGATTGAAAGTTAAACCAGAATTAAAGTAATTTACAATAAAATATTAATTCACCAAAATATCCTTCATTATTATTAGG